CACCCAACGCCCATCTACAAAAAGTAAAAAGATTAGCCAGGCACAGTGACACACTTGTAGTCCCAGCTATTCAGAAGGCTGACAGAGGAGGATCATTTGAGTCCAGAAGTTTGAGGCTTCAGTGAGCTGTGATCACACCACTGCACTCTGGCCTGGGGGACAGAATAAGACTGTCCCTAAAAAATAAATCTTTTAAAAAGGCAGATACTAACAGTTCTACTTATCTGAGGTGTCTAAAGTCAAATTCATAGAAACAGTAACATAGTGATTACCATGGGCTGGGGGAAGAGGGATTGAGGAAAGAGAATTGTTTAATAGGTCCAGAGTTTCAGATTTGCTTAATAAAAAAGTTCTGGAGATCTTTTTCACAAGATGAATATACTTAACACTACTGAACTGTACACTTAAAAACAAGATGGTAAATTTTATGTTATATGTGTTTTTTTTTTACCACAATAAAAGATAAACTAAAAAAAAAAAAAAAAGTCAAAAAAGCCCACTAATCTGAGGAGATGACACTAATAAACTATACTATCTTAAAAGTAAAAATTTCTGTTCATCAAAAGAGTGAAAAAACAAGTAAAAGAATGGGGAACATATTTATAATATAAATGGGTAGAAAACAACTCAGAACCTGAATAAGGCACATCTATAAATCAATGAGAACACTATATAACAGGAAAAAATGAACAGAACATTTGAATAGATGTGTCACAAAAGAGGACATCCAAATGACCAAAAAGTATGTGAAAAGGTGAACAACTCATTAGTCATTAGGGAATTGCAAAATAAAATAGTACAATGAACTATCATCATGATAAACCCACTAAAAAGGCTACAACTTAAGAGACAGCCCAAGTTCTGGCAGTGAGGCAGAGCAATGGTTCTCAACTGGGGACAATTTTGCCCTTGAAGGGTAATTTGGCAACACCTGGGGACATTCCTGTTGTCACAAATGACAGGAAGATGGACACTATCAGCATCTAGTGTGGTGTTTTTCAACCTTTTTTATCCTACAGCACACTTGAACCTATAGTTAAACTCCATGGCACACTTAAATTACATTGATTAAAAAAAAAAGTAAAATAAAGAATATACTTATTGCACTTTGACTGCTTTCAAAAATAATTTACTAATGGTCTTTAAAAATTTTCATGCCATACCTAAGATCCTCTCATGGCATACCAGTGTGCCAAGGCACACCAAGTGAAAAGCAATGATGCTAACTAACCATCTTAAAATGCTCAGGACAGCCTAAAATGTCAACAGTGCTACAGCTAGGAAAGCCTGACTTGGTATAACTAAAACTCAAAATGACAGGACCACTTTGGAAAATGGTTCAGCATTGCTTTCTAATGCTGGATGTATGTGCACTCAATAACAGCAATTCTACTCTTAAGGATACAGAAATATGCCCAACAGAGACAGATGTACACATAATGAGCCAATAGTTATATAAAACAGTGTTAAATAGCAGGAATATTTGTAATGGACTCAAATGGGAAAGAACTCAAATGTCCATTACTAGTAAAATGAATAATCTGTAGGATATTTGTATAGAAATAAGAACAGAATCATAATGATTCTACCCTACTCAGATGGCTCTCATGTTGAAAGAAAGCCAGATATGAAAGAAATAATAGCATATGATTTTTATTTACATAAAAAAACCAAAAAGGGGCTGGTTGTGATGGCTCATTCCCATAATCCTAGCACTTGGGGAGGCTGAGAAGGGAGGATAGCTTGAGGTCAGGAGTTTGAGACCAGCCAGGGCCAGCCTGTTTATACCAAATACACACATGACAAAGAAAAAATCAGTGTTTTTTTTTTTTTTGAGACAGGAGACTCAAGCTGTCCCCCTGGGTAGAGTGCCGTGGCATCTCAGCTCACAGCAACCTCCAATTCCTGGGCTCAAGTAAGTCTCCTGCCTCCGCCTCCCAAGTAGCTGGGACCACAGGTGCCTGCCACAATGCCCGGCTATTTTTTGGTTGCAGCCGTCATTGTTGTTTGGCGGGCCTGGGCTGGATTCGAACCTGCCACCTTGGGTGTACATGGCTGGCGCCTTAGCCACCTGAGCCACAGGCGCCGAGCCAAATCAGTGGTTTTAAAAATCAGAATAATGGCCACCTACTAGAGAAGGTAATATGAATAGGGAGCAATGTTTCTGAGGCAATGCTATATTTCTCTTTTTCTTTGAGACCCATAGCAACCTCAAAATCCTGGGCTCAAGTGATCCTCTTGTCTCAGCCTCCTGAGTAGGTGGAACTATAGGCATGTGCCACTATGCCCTGCTAGGTTTTCTTAATTTTTTTTTTAGTAGACATGGGGTTCGTCCCCTTGCTCAGGCTGGTCTTGAACTCCTGATCCTGAGCTCAGGGATCCATCCACCTCTGCTTCCCAGAGTGCTAGGATTACAGGTGTGAGCCACCGTGCCTAGCCATTGATGTATTTCTTGAGGAGGGTAGTAACTAGTAGGGAAAATAAGTGGGGCTTTGAGGGCAACATACCATTTCCTGATCCACAGGGAGGTTACTCGTATGTGTTAGTGTTGTGAAAATCAATGCATCCAACAAATGTATATATATAAATGTAACATACACATGCTTTTCCACACATAGAATACTTTAATTTGTAAGTTAATTAAAAAAAAAGTCAGTGGAGTAGTAACCAAGATCTTCTAACTTTTTGGGAAAGAAATGCCCCCTTGAGATTTATAGAAAAAGAACGTGTGTATGAGGAATAGAAATACCCCCAAAGTACTAGTTAATTGTTTTACTCAGGACTGGGTTTATGGGTACCTGTCGCTTGATTGAAACCAATTCCATGTCTAGTTGTCTCAGCACTGTGGTAGCCGCAGTAGCATTAGCAGAAACAGCCTCCACATCTTCTTGAGAAAGAAACATTCCTTTCGGAGGTTTCCTTTTTGCTCTATTTTTAGCTTGTGTGCTATGTTTTTCTTTTTTGACCTGAGGAACTGTCTCAGTAGGAAGTACCTGTGTGATATACAGATTTCATAAATGAAACTCAAAAATGTCAAATGGTCAGTAATAAGCACATAAGGGACAAATAATCTAAGATAAACACCATGCCAAATCAGAATTACCATTTATAAATGGTAAATACTTCGAGGTATACTGTTTCCTCCATGTACAGACACACCTTTACTCAATCACTTTAAGCCTCTGATACTAAGGATTCTTAGCTTCTTTCTCATAGTAATAATGAAAGAAAAAAACTTATATTCTCTTCTAGTGAGATTTATGGCCTTATCTATGCAGATATCATCTATCATAATATATACATTATATATTTGTCTACATGATATATAGATAAATGAGCAGAAAATTATTTTATGATAAGAGCAGTCGCTAGCAATAGAGATGGTCATGAGAGGAAAAAGACAAAAAATGATTTGGTACATTTGTAAGGATCCATAAGAAATTATTTAAATCTTCAGATTAAGAAATATAAACTTTGATATAAAACGATGAATTATACATCTTTTATTTTTGGACAATGCTTAACTTTTAGTGCTACTTATATAAGTTGCACCAGAATAACTTATGTTGTCATTTTAAAATGCATGATTTGTTTTCTGTAAAACCAAAACCTTCAGAAATGAAACGGAGTAAAGCTTTGGCAAAGAAAGGAATATGTTTTAATCACTTTAAGATTGTGAAGATTTCACAATTGTACATCATCTCATCTTGGTGGTGTATTAAAATTTGTTGATAAAGTTAAAAATATACTTAGGCTTTTTGCTTCATATTTTAAATGACTAAGCTAAAAAGATAATGCAAACTATGATGGTAGTGATAATTTCTTGAATAAGTGGTAATAAATAATATTTTAAAATGTCAGTAGGCAATAAACTATGCTCTGTCTAGCACTATACTGTTTAATAAAGTTTACCTATTAACCATGTGTCTGCTTTAATATGTTAGTACTTAAAGAAATTATGATTTAATGATTTGTCATTTAGCTTAATTTTATTTGGGACAGAGTCTCACTATGTTGCCCTTGGTAAAGTGCTATGATGTCATAGCTCACAGCAACCTCAAACTCTTGGGCT